AATGCTTTTTAATGTATCATAATAATGCCCTTCCTTGACTTTTTATCACACTGCAGTTGTGAGTGTTGGAGCTGCGCTTTTCTTATTCCAACAATTAGCTGGGATAAATGCAGTGGTATACTACTCTACAGCTGTGTTTCGTAGTGCTGGAATTGCATCTGATGTTGCAGCAAGTGCTCTTGTTGGGGCATCGAATGTCTTCGGTTAGTGTTTAATTATTTTTCCTAAAATATAAATTCCTGGGAGAAAAAAAAATCACATAGGATCCTTGACATCCCTGGCTTCTGATATGCTTTGCAGGCTCCGCTATTGCATCCACTCTGATGGACAGACAAGGAAGAAAAAGTCTTCTGATGACGAGCTTTGCTGGAATGGTAGGTTTATTAAGTTGTAGGCTTGTAGCAGTTCTTTTACCAAATCAGCGAGTGTGGTATTCTACCAAAACCACCAACATTTGCATTTTGGGCCTTCAGACACATAATAAATAAAACAAACATCTCTCATTTATCCTCGCTATATAACATTTCTTTGTTCCTTTTTTGTCTATGTAATGATCAATTTTATTAAATTGAAACTGATGTTTCCTTGATGCCAAGAGTTCATTTGAAGTTTTAGGTTAGAAATGGCAAATTGCACAACATTTAAAAGTTGGTAAACTTTCTTGCATGCAAAACACTAGCTAGGTAGTAGGTATGGGCTGGAAACTCTAGGATAATCATTTGTCTAGAAGATGTTTCTAGGTATATTGAACTACTTTTTCTTTTTTTCAACTTACTTGCGTTGAAATATTGAGTTGTTGAAATCCCTTGTTCATATTCCTCTGTCTCTATGGTTTCAAAACCATAGCTCACTCAGCTTATAAAATCATATTTATTTATGGTTTTCAATATTGCTTGTTATGCCTTATTGGAGAATATGTCTCTTGAATTTGCTTGGAAGTAGTGCATTTAAGCATCTTAAGATAGTTCACTGGTGGTTTCAGCAAATTATAAAGCAATGAGCATTTGCTTGCCTGTAAAATGACTCCCTTGGTCAGCATTCATTTTGCATCTGGAGCTGATATTTTTCTTTGATTTCATGGATGCTTGAATGGATTGTACTTTTCACACAAAAAAAGCCATGCTTTGGATGAACGGTGATTTTTGATGAGCAAAAAAGCCATAATAGCATTTTGTTTGGTTTTCCTATGGTTTACTTCCACCCTGAAAACTTTGTTAGACTTGCTTACTTGCTTCTTCAATCACCTTATGTTGTCCTTTCTTGTTATTTATTACACCATGATACAATAACCAATTTACTTATCCGGTTCTCTTTAAATTAATTAACTTTTATTTTTTACTGCTCTTACTTTTCTGTCTTCTTTTGGCTTGTGAAGGCTGCTTCAATGTTACTACTCTCTTTGTCGTTTACTTGGAAGGTCCTGGCTCCCTATTCTGGCACACTAGCCGTTGTTGGAACCGTTCTGTGAGTTGATGTTTTTTATAAAATTAATGAAGCCTATCAAAGTTTCTTCTTATTTGATGCCTGCAATTGTTTTCACCTCCTACTGACTAGTGAGATCTAAACCTGGCTTCGATTTCTTCTGCACAGCTATGTTTTATCCTTCTCGCTTGGTGCTGGTCCTGTGCCTCCTATTCTTCTGCCGGAGATATTTGCTTCCAGAATCAGAGCTAAAGCAGTGGCTTTATCGCTTGGCACACATTGGGTAAGTCAGTATCGAGAAGCTGCCCAAAGTTGTTGATATTTATTCCTAAAGCAAAATTGTCAATGTAGATACTTAGACAGGAGCAACGGTTTTTGTTCTTCCTTATCTGTGTTACCTAGACTCCTTATTTCCATACCCATAGTTGATACCTTCGACATGAGTACAGGGGTATCATTCTCCAAATACATGGAGAAACTTATAAAACTTAAAAACGCCTGAAACATACCTATATTCAACACCTCCAAACCGTGTAGCATGATCTGAATATTTGGTGTTTGTATCTTTGTCTTCTTCTACCAACTGGGGATTTATTGTTTCATCTCTGGCCTGTGTTCTTGTTCCAACAGATCTCCAACTTTGTCATTGGCCTGTATTTCTTGAGTTTTGTCAACAAGTTTGGGATCAGCTCGGTATATTTGGGATTCGCTGGAGTTTGTGCCCTTGCTGTCTTGTACATAGCTGGTAACGTTGTGGAAACGAAGGGGCGATCATTGGAAGAAATAGAGCTAGCTCTGAATCCGACGACTTGATTTGTACAATATCCAAAGGTGTGCAGTAATAATCTCTGAATCTGGTGAAATTCATGTCATGAGCATTCCATTATTTTTCATCTTTGGGTTAAGTCCAGACAGAAGCAACCAGTTTTAGTGAAGTGTACACGTTTGTTGCTTGAATTCTAGAATTGTAGTACTTTGTGCAGAAAATATTTTTGTTGTTGGAACTGTCCATTTATGGAATACTAGAAGTAGCGCAAGAAAATACCAGCTCTATAACATTTTGGTTATAGGATGCCAGATTAGATTACAAGTGATGATATCACCCTTAATAATAAGATTTTTTCGGAGATTAGATTACAATGTTGATAACAAAATCGAAACTATAACATCGGTTAAAAGTAACTTTCTAATCTGTGTATTATAGGATCTGGAGAACAAATGGATCTCTTTTTATTTGATGATGGATAACCAATTAAAACACTGCAAAAAGGTAACACTAACAGCATGGGTCACAATTAGGTAAAGAACAATTAAGAACGAGATTAAGCAGTTGGGTTAGCTAAAGATCTCCTAGCCAGTGCAGCTTGAAGGCTCCTGGACCACGGGTGTTTTTTGCTGCATGCACTGAGCTCCACAAGTCCTGAGCACAACCTTAAAATATCGTCAGCCAAAGTATGGTAATTCCAATGAAAATGGACTTTCTTTTCCTGGATCATCATGTTACATGTGGCATCCCCATTTTCTGCAGTTGTGAAGGTTCCTTTCCCATAATTCTAACAGCAATTTCCTGGTTTAAAACCGGCCGACGAATATGATATCATCAGTTTCAAGCTCTGAAAAAACAATTAATATCATCTCTGAGAAACAAATAGGCATCATAAACAAAAAGTAGGTGGGAGATAGGAATGCTACCTCTGCTTAACTCCCTTTAAGCTTCCATCCTCTTCTGCCATGGTTAATGCAAAATTGAGAGAACGTTTTGGCACAAAATGAATACAATATGGCGACAGGGGGTCACCGTGCCTCAGACCTCTTTCCGGTTTAATGAATTCTGTAGGTTCCTCATTGGCAAACACATGATGATAGACAGTTTGAACACACTTCAAAATGAGATCAATCCAATGATTACTGAAAGACATGGACTCAAAAATTGCCTCCAACAATTTCCAGCTGAGCCGGTCATATGAACTCAAAAATAATAATTTTACAAGTCAAAATTTGATAATTATATGTCGTGTTTTTCCAACGGTGTAATAAAATAAATATTTGACAGAATTAAAGTTTGAGTATCAGTTTGAAATAAAAAATAAAAACATCAATTTAGGAGAAAAATGTAAGTACAAAGATCAGTTTAATAATTAAGATTTTCTCTTGTCAAATCTATGTTCAACCGTCTTGGTGGGTAAGGGAGATAAGACATATCTGGTGGGAAGATAACAAATGCGCTGACCGTCTTGCTAACATGGCAAGTGAACAGGAGAGTTATGTCACCATCCCAACGGATCCACAGGAAGTAATTGTCCCACTGTTGAGTACTGATGCTAGAGGAGAAGCGACTCTTGGAATTTAAACTCCTGTTTTAGGAGGTTCTCATCTGTTGTACCAAAAAAATAAAAAAAATCAATGTTTAACTGTGGAATGACAGAAATTTAAACAAGCGGTCAATTTGCTAAATACGAAATTTACTATTTACTTAGTAGAATGACCAAAATACAATCAATCACCTACTATAAGGGCATCTATGGTAATTTCACCCGTTAGAGCGATAATACAGTTATCTCAAACGGAGCATTGCTTCCTTCCCACCATAAGACATTTTTTCGGCCGCTATTTGCGCCAACGAAGCATACAAAACCCATATTTTCAACAAAAAGGAAAAGGAAAAAAAGCATACAAAACCCATAATCAACTCCTTAAAACATTCAACAAAACTGAGGTCTGTATTAAAGAAAAACATTGCTTTCTTAATAAGTATACATTTTATATTGCAAGCATTAGTAGCTTTTTATAATATTTAGTATCGTAACTTATAGTTTAATTGAATCATCTTATATTACAAATGTTAATGTATTTTTTGGTAATGTTTTATAATTATTTCTCTCTTGAAATTTGTTTTAAATATAAAAAAAATAATAAATTTAAAATTTATATTATTATAAAAAATATCTCACAACATCAAATATTAATATTGAGTTATCAAAACATATTTATATAATGTTATTATATTTTAAAGTTTTTTATTTTTTATAAATATGGGTTGAATACAATGCAGTGTGTGTTCAAAAGATTATTAAACCTTTGATAATAAAGGCTCATATCCCTACGTATGCGGTGTTGATCTCAAAACCTCAAGAGTTAACAACAAATCTCTTAATCACTAATAATGCTTGATTCGTGCTGTAAGTTAAAAAAATTATTTATCATCACATTAATGAATTTAATTATAATTCAAATTAATATATTTTAAATTTTATTATATAATCTCGAATAGATATATTTTATTTTTTTCGAAAGTATTTTTTTTTTCACAACAATCATAAACAACTAATTCTTAAACAACACTTTTCAGTTACTCATCGTATATTTTATAATCATATGAAACTGAATTGATTTTAACACGATATAAAAGAAATTAAAATTTGAATAATCCAATCTAGACTGACCGGGCCATGAACATATTTTACAAGAAAAGTTAAGCATAATTATGAAAAATGCTTATAATTTTATTTTTATTTTTTTCGAAAGTAGTAACAAATTAATATATTTCTAATAAATGGGATTTTACACGAAAGTCAGCCTAAAAATAAAGGGGAAAACAGGTGAAATCCAAGATTTGCAGTTGTTATTGAACAATTTGGAACAAAAGAATTGTTCAGTTGTCAAAATCAAGGAGCCGCAGCAAGGGCTTCAAGGTGCCTGGTGAAAACTTTCTAGCAAATAAGAAGCATATTGAAGTTGTATTCCCATTGTAAATGCATTCCGATCCATTTTGAGTTCGATTCAGAAGCTCCTCGTTGATATCGGGAGCACCGAATTTCCTCGGATGAGGCCCTCCTCTCGACCAGTCAACCCACGTAACGCTCCGGTTCGAGGTTGATTCCACGTAAAACATGTTCACCAACGTAGGTATGTAATGCTCATCGCTGTAGCAAGGCGGGTGGCAGTACTCTCGGAAAATCGAATAATACTTCTGGTCGGAAACAACGTGCAAGGCCATCTCGCGATGCATTTCGAACCACTGAGACCCTTTCCGCCAATCGGTGAGATTAATTGCGGGTGACATTTGGGGATTGTATCGACCCCGACCGGGTTTCCGGTGATCATCGTACACGCTCAAGAAGCTTAGGTTTGAGGTGATGAGGTAGTCATAGGTTTTCTTGAAGTTGAAGAGGGGAATGCATGAGTCTGATAGGAGAATAAATCTTTGATTTGATACATCAAGAAGTGCATTTGCAAGTAGTCGTCTCTCTGCATCTATCATCGATGCAGTCCCCCAATGCACCGGCTGCCGCACCCACAAACAAAATTGCAAAAAACATCAACAACTGAAATTAAAAATAAAAGGTACAATATTAAAAAGAGAAAATAACTTCGGTGACAAAAAATGCCTTATAATATAAGATTTTAACAATCTTTTTTTGGATTTGCCAAAATGACCAACTAAATCGCAATGCGATCGATAATTCGCAACGCGATCTCCGGTATCGCAAATCATTTTCCAGATTCGCGATGCGGTAGTCGAAGTTCGCGTTGCGAATCTGGAAACTGATTTGCGATAGTCGAAGTTCGCGTTACGATTTATTACAAATTCGTTGCGATAGTCTAAGTTCGTTGCTATAGTCGAAGTTCGCGTTGTGATTTATTCTAAATTTGTTGCAATAGTCGAAGTTCGCGTTGCGATTTATTCCAAATTCGTTGCGATTTATTCCAAGTTCGTTGCGATAGTCGAAGTTCGCGTTACGATTTATTCCAAGTTCGTTGTGATAGTCCAAAAGCGCAACGACTGGTGGTATTGCATTTGTTTCTTAAGAATTTTCTCTAAAAAGATAGTATTCGCGCGGACATGTCGAAGACACGTATGACAACGACCACGACCACGACCCGACCCGAGACAGCGACGGCGGCGACGCGTGAGAGTCCCCCTTGTTCTCTATCACTCAACAAGGAAGTGGGAAAGTCAAGCCTTAAATACCATTCCCAATAGTGTTTCCAATACTATGTGGGATTGAGCATTACCAACACTTGTTTCCAATACTATGTGATTATTCAGGAAACAATTAACAATCATGCACCTTAAAACAACTGAATCAGCAACCAATTGCATTAGTATTATACGATTAAATATGTCATAATTAAAAGTCAATCTACAATCAATCGCGATTATTGTAATTTTAAGCAAAACATTCAAAAAAAAATTGCATCACTCGCGAGAATAAAAAAATTGTTATCGTGCAATTACAATCAATTGAAAATAAATTAGAATTGCATTAAAACTAAACGAATCACAAATACTTTTCATACAAATACTAAAGTCATTAACTATAATTCACAAATAATATCACTATTTAAGGCTCAATCCCACATAGTATTGGGAACAAGTGTTGGTAATGCTCAATCTCACATAGTATTGAAAACACTATTGGAAATGGTATTTAAGGCTTGACTTTCCCACTTCCTTGTTGAGTGATAGAGAACAATGGAGACTCTTGCGCGCCGCTGTCGCTGCCGTCCGTCTCATCTCGTCTCTGGTCGTGGTCGTGGTCGTGGTAATACGTGTCTTCGACACGTCCGCGCGAATACTATCTTTTTAGAGAAAATTCTTAGTTGCAATTTTGGACTATCACAACGAACTTTGAATAAATCGCAACGCGAACTTCGACTATCGCAACGAACTTGGAATAAATCGCAACGCGAACTTGGACTATCGCAACGAACTTGGACTATCGCAACGCGAATTTGGAATAAATCGCAACGCCTTCGACTATCGCAACGCCTTCGACTATCGCAACGAACTTGGACTATCGCAACGCGAATTTGGAATAAATCGCAACGCGAACTTAGACTATCGCAACGAATTTGGAAAATCGCATTGCGATAGTCGAAGTTTGCGTTGCGATAGTCGATGTTCGCGTTGCGAATCTGGAAACTGATTTGCGATACCGGAGATCGCGTTGCGAATTATCGATCGCATTACGATTTAGTTGGTCATTTTGGCAAATCCAAAAAAAGTTGGTTAAAATCGTATATTATAAGGCATTTTTGGTCACTGAGGTTATTTTCTCTATTAAAAAATACCTTTCGCGCTTGAATAGTCATTTTAATTTCATTCCATTTTAGAATATTCGGTCATCAACATTTCATTTTAGAATAAAAAGACTACTGACATTTGACTAAATAGTTGTTATTCTTTATTTCTTTCTATTGGAGCATTTTAGTTTTTTTTTTGAGCATTTTAATTATTAACTATTCATTTTAAGATAAAAAGACTTATGTTTAAGAGCATTTACCATATGTTGACTAACACTTTTCATCAACAAAATGATTTTTTACCTCGATATTTTTTTAGCATTTTAATTATTAACGATTCATTTTAAGACAAAAAGACTCATGTTTAAGAGCATTTACCATTTGTTGACTAACACTTTTCATCAACAAAATGATTTTTTACCTTGATATAAAACATTGATATCAAAATGCTAGAAAAAAAAATAACTACAATGACTATTTAATAAATGTTAGAGACATATGTATATAGAGAGTGGATGAGAGAGGGTCTTGCCCTTCCCAATTTCTTATCAATTTAAACTTAAACAAAATCAAACTTTTGTCCTTCTAATTTCTTAAATTAAATACCTAATAAATTCCTATTATTTTAAATTTAGATACTTTCTTCCTCCTAATATTTAATCATCCTAACTCTGTCTCACATTTTTTTTATCATTTTCAAAAGAAAAATAAATTAAATTCTGAAATATATATACCTGGCAGGGGATTCTTCGACCATAATAGACTGAAGTTTGAGGGATTGTTTCATTGTAATCAGGATGTGAATGAACGTAGATCGTGTACAAGCCTTCGTTTAACTGAAAAAACTTTTCCCACAACGGAGCCAAGGGAAGTGGACCAATAGTCAAGAACATGAAAGCTACCTTCGGACGATAATATTCTTCCATTCTCGAAACCCTAGATGCTCTCAACAACAACTCTTCGTCACTCATGTTGTGCATCAAAGACTTACGTTGTTCCAACGAAACCGTAACGCTAGAGCCGGAAAACGTGCTTCCATTCGTCAAAGACGCCGGCAACGGATCCGGCGGTGATAACAACGGCGACGGTGACGGGGGAACTGGTGGAGAAGAAGTACTATAGACCAAAGAGGAGGCTTGAGAAAGTAGAAGCGGAAAGCTTTTAAGCTGTAAAGCGATGAGAATACCGACTGATAAACCAGTGACGAAAGAGATGAGATGGAAGACGAGTTTGTCGGTCGTGAGTGGCTTGGAAAATGGTTGGATTATATGTTTGTCGACGCCCATGGTTGTGTGCGGAGGAATGGGGGAGCCAGAGGGTGTTTAAATAGTGATCGTAAACAAGCATTGTGCTTCAAAATTCATCGCCTACGATCTTGATATTAGGTTGAAATTGACTTGGAAAAAGCTAGCAGGGTTAGGGTGATTAAACCTTAAGAAAAGGCATTGCTGCATGTATTTCTCTTTTTTAAGATTCGACTGATCTTGATAATTAAAATTTGTGCACTGCTGAATACTTCTTTGAATAGCAAAGCTACTTGATTTCTAACGTTGATTGATTTTAGGTTGAGTGATGTTAATAATTATATTACGTGTCTAGAATATATTTCAAACTCAATTAACGTGGAATTTATTTTAATCTTTAACATGTCTTAAAAATAACAAAATTTTCATTTGCATAATAGTTAGATTCAATAATTCTAGTCCACTGTATCGAACGAAATTTAAAATCTAACTTTAAAAACTCTGGTGGGCGTTCAAAGCAAATCCCAAACGCGTCACTTCATAAGTGGTTTATTTTTTTAATTAATTATTGATATATGATCTATTGACCGATTAATTCAGATTGAATTTTAACACATCCAAATATGAAGAAAAAAATTCCTCCATTCTGACTCGACATGCATTTAGAAGGGTGCCAATTTTTAGATTAAAATTTACATCTGCGTCTGATTCAATCTATATGAAATTCATTTTTATTAGGTAAAATAATTATCTCATTGAAAAAATAATATATAAATAAGTATTATTATAATTATCGATGATTAATTATAATACTATATCAATTCGAATTAAGTTAAATATTTTTATCCCAAATCTAAATTCGATGAGACTATATCATTCAAAAAAGTTTGACCCTAACTCATCGAATCAGGATGAAATTCCCATCCCTAAATACAAGATCTAACTTATATAATATGTCCCTAATAATCTTGTCTTTGTCTAGAAATCAAACAAGATGGAAAAAAAAGCAATAGAATTGCCCGCACATTGGCGTAAAACCCTAAGGAAGGGAAAACCGAAATCAATGCTTAAAGATTCGAGGAAAAAGAAAGAGAAATAACCATGTCTGCACCCTTCCTTGCGTCTGGCTTAATTTAATTGAAAATTACTTCACATATTTAGTCAGAACCAACAAACTCTTTGACAAACGTTATTACCTTAAAAAAAGTTACTTTGATTTAGGGTTGTGCTTAGGGTAGCCTTTATTCCTTAATTACTTTGTATCTTTTTGCCTTCAGTTAGTGCTATATTTTCTTTTCAAACACATTACGTGTTGCCATTCTTTATCAACTTTAGCCAGATATCAATAAAAATAATAAAAAAATAATTTTAAAATTGTATTTAATAATTTTATTTTTATAACATTTTTATTGACTTTATGATCTAAATATATCATTTTTAAATTATTTTAAATATGTTAATTATATACATATATGCTATAACACCGTTGTCACCATGGAAGAGAGCTAACGTGGTGATGATTACTTGATTAGTTTGAAGTCCACTTAGACTTCAATATTATACACAGGTTCGATGTACATTAACGTGTTTTTTGTTATGAATTATGGCGTAAGAAAAATGAAAACTCAAGTTTCGTCTTCATTTTTATTTGAATTATCTACGTTGATGAGGTTTTAATCTAATGATGATAAAATATTTTTGTCAGTTCAAGAATTAAGCCTTATAATGTGCAGATTTTATATTTATAGTTGTTAATTATAAATCTACGATTAATCTTTTTATTAAAAAAGGAAAATCAAAAGTCAACCAAAGCAATAACTAAAAACCTAAGTAGGTGCATGAAAGATAGCCAACCTTTTCTAACGATATATATATATATATATATATATATATATATATATATATATATTTATTTATCGGGTTAACATCCACTAACATAATATAAAAAAATTATACAGATCTAAGACCATTAAATGAGTGAAGATAAATAGATATATATAACGTACAGAGAAACGCGACTAGAATTAAATATTGTGGGATAAAATCATTTTATATAAAAAAAAATAAGAATCTATTAAGAATTTAACCTAAAACGTTATTATAAAAAAATTGGGTAACCCCCAAGTAGTTCCGTACACATGGATATGTTAATATATTTTTTAATGTTTACATTTTAGTTTTATGTATTATTATAAATTTAACTTTATGTAATATGGATTATATAAAATTAAAATAATAAAACATAAGAATCCGACTCATATTTTAAAAAAATATATAATTCTTTTATAAAAACTCATTTTTTGGACTTAATATTTTTTATTGAAATTCTTTTAAATTTTGGACAGACTTTCAAACTTAAACGGGAACCACTATCGTTAAAACAAAGAAGCCGCCGGTTTTATTATAAATTTCAGGACTGATTTTTTAAAAGGATAAAAATGTTTAGAGTGTAAGGAAAAACAAATATTTCAAACCGCGTGCCCGAAAGTTTTCCAAATTGCTTCAAATAGAAAAAGGAAGAATTAATAATAGCTGATTATCATATTAATAGAATACTTAAAAGTGTGAATATCATTTCAATAAATTTTCTATAAGTTTAATCGTTAATTTAAATATTAAATGTAAGCTTGAACTTTATAATTTAAACATTAAATGTCAGTTTAGATTTTTTTTTTGTAAAGTATTTTAAAATACACAATATATATTATAAATATATGTATACTTATTATATAAATAATTTAAATTTAACATGTTAAAAAATAAAATTAAAATATTATACGAAGTCGGTTTTTTTCTTTTTCTAATACATCAAATTCAAATTATCCAATATCATAAATTTATTATGATCTATGTATTTTAATTATATTTCATTCAGATTAATTTGAACAAAGATTTAAAAGTCCAAGTTAAAGTCAGACTGATGAAATGAGCTAAATGATACGGTATATATTTTAGGAACTTAATTATAATTTTTTTAAAATTTAGAAATTTATTTAAAGTATAAATTTAAAAATGATGTAATTAACTACAAAAGTATATAAAAAATTAAATGATTGATAATTCTAGGGCAATTCTCTAAATCTTCATTCCAAACATTTCTCAAGTCCTTTCTCTTTTGTATTAGTTATAATTTTATATGAGCTTCAATTCTCTTATTCCCACTTCAATTTATTAAAAAAGTTTTAATTATTTTAAATCGATAAATATATAAACAATGAATATCAAATGTCTTATTATATATATATTTACTTAACTGTCACGGTTATTCAATAGTCAAAATAAAATCGATCTTATAATTTGCACACAAAAATAACGCTCGGTACAATTAAAAAAAAAAAAACTTTACTACATCCAGGGCTAAAAAAGATGAATACATTGATCATCATTTGTCATGTATTCACAAAAAAACTGTGTTCAACATACTACGAAAAGAAAGTAACCCAATATTCACCAAGTAAACGAGTTCATAATCATACACATATCTATCTCACAATTTATTTGACATACTAGACAAACCATATCCACTGTATTCCATTGGAATGTTGGATGGTCTGAAAAATGATGATGTGAAGGTGTCTTCAGGTGATTTCGGAGGAGAATAAAGGAATGGTGTCGGAGGAATCGTCAGAGATCCGATGCTTCCTTGCAACATCTCGAAGGCCTGAGTAATCGATGGTCGATCTGATGGATTACTTTGAATGCACCACAAACTCACTATGATCATCTTTCTGATTAGTTCTTCATTTTCGGCTGTCATTCCTTCAAGATTCAAGTCTGCTCCTCCTTTAAGACAATCGTAAATCCATATCGGAAAATTCTGATTACTGGTTTGACTATGGATATTTTCTTTTTCTCCGACCATTTCAAGGAGCATCATCCCGTAGCTATAAACATCGGATTTGTGCGAGATTCCTCCGAAGCTTCGGCATATCACCTCTGGAGCAATATATCCAATAGTTCCTCTAGCACTTATCGTGGAAATTATACTCTCCTTCCGCTCACATAGTTTAGCTAGCCCGAAATCTGAAATTTTGGGACAAAAATTGTCATCTAGAAGGATATTGTGAGGTTTTATGTCGAAGTGTAGGATCCTCGTGTTGCAGCCTTGATGCAAGTATTCCAATCCTCTGGCAATGCCGATTGCGATATCGTATAACGTTTTCACTTCGAGCTGATTAGGTCTATCCGGAGAATCTCGATGGCAGATGAACTTATCCAACGATCCATTGGGCATGAATTCATAGATTAGAGCTCGTATGTAGAGATCATAGCAGAAACCAACAAATGCCACTATATTAACATGAGAGGTTCGGCTAATGCTAGCCACCTCATTTATGAACTCGTCTCCACTCCCCTTGGCTTCATTTAGGACTTTTACGGCAACAAGTCGGCCATCGGGTAACGTACCTTTATATACAGTTCCAAATCCACCTTGACCTAGTTCGTCTTTGAATGACTTGGTTATTTTCTTGATGTTTGCATAAGAATATCGCTTCGGAGCAAGTTCAGAACCATACTGCAATATGTATGCCTCAATCCTTTCCCATTGCTTCCTTTTCCCTCGTTGTAACTTCAATAACACTCCTCTTGACAGTGATTCTTTTTTAATCTGGAAAGTTACCATCAAAGCCGCAACTACCAAAACAACTCCGGCCACTCCGAAGCCTATTTCAGAGAACAAGGAATCAAAGTTAGAGGAGTACTACCTAGCTGCTGTTCGTAGTTCCGACTGAAATATGAACCAATAGTACTTACCTATGGCTAACTTAAACTTTGAATTGAAACCATTTGATGACCCTGCAACCAGCGATGAATCAAGTTAGAATCTTAGCAAAAGAACAGATTATGGAGAAGAATGATTGTTGACTATGATACCTGAGATGGGATCGTTTTGATCCCATTGCACCCCAAAGCCATTAGCAAGGGTGACATTCAGATTAGCTGGACCCGGGTTGTGCTCTAAAACCTGTAGTATTGAAGCGAAAGCCGGGACAAGAACATTGGTACGACATGATCTCAAGGCATCCTTCGTTGCAACCGAGAGGTTAGAAAAGTACGATGTGACCACAAAATACCCTATGGTATCAGTTCCATTCATGCTGCAATTGAACTGATGATTAGAAAGCCCTTCATACCGATTCACATCGGTGGGGCAACCGTAATAAAGCGATATGTTCTGGGTATTCCAAGCAGCCTGGAAAGGGCTGAGATTCAACGAGGTGTTGACGAGGCGCCGGGGACAAAGCACGCTATCCGAGCTACTCATAGGAGCAAGTGTAAGAGATTTGAGGGTGGTATTGTATACCAGAACTTGGTAACTCCGTGAACTGATTATAATCATGGGACTACCACCCTCACAATACATCTCGAATCCCAGCTCCCCGCAATACGCCGGGCTACCCCTTTGCCGGAACGGATACCTCAGATCTCGGACGAGGCCGCAGTTGAAAGGTTTGTTACATTCCGGGGAATTCCTAGACTCAATACTGCCTATACACACCAGAACTTGGAAGGACATAAAGATTACAAGTAGTCCAACAATGGAGGAAGTTCCTGCCACATTGACACAATTCTTTTAAACCAAATTAACACCAAAGAGTCCTAAATAAAACTAGAAAGTAGATCAAGTAATTCTATAACGTATAAATACACACAAATGCAATTTAACAAAGAGAAAAATCAACACAAACAAGAAATTAAAGTCATCTCTTTCTCAAGAATCAAAATCCAAGGGAGTAAAACACTAAAAACCCATCAATACTCAACAAAGACAAAAACAGATACCCAAATAGTGAAGACTGAAGAAGCAAAGAAACTAATCTAAGAATCAACATACTTGACTTGTTCATAACGTGAAAGAAAATCCAGAGAAACAGAAGGAAAAACCCATACCAGTTATTTTCAGGAATTCTACCAACTTCAACCTATGCGACAATACACGAAAAAGGCCCACAAGGGCTGCCATTATTGCTAGTCTCGAAAGAAATTCAGCTTAGGTCTAGAACTGTGATGGGAATTAGGTGATAAGGACGGGAAACAGAGGAAATATCCCAGTTTCTTCTTGGGTGTAGGTGTAGAAGCACCAAATAGAATAAATAAGCAGGTAAAGAAATTGAGAAATTAAAATATCATAAAAGTCTACCATGATCTGACCCGTAAACAAGCAGCCAAGACTGGTTTCCATGGTGTAGGGCCGGCCAGTTTAAACCTTTAGGGACCGTGTTTCACAAGTCAATAAATATGATACTGATGGAAGTAGGCTGGAAAAGGAACAAAGGATGACGAGCCGAAGGGTTGAACGATTCAACTCGTGTGACGTGTTGGATATAAATAAAAGGAAAACCGCAACTACAAACTCCCAAAATGAAGGATCATAAAGGAAGATGAAAGAGGATTACTAAGAAACTAAGACGGACATAAATATGTCGAGCTATCAAGTAACCACGATAAAAGTGGACAGACAAGATAAAACTTCAATGTAATGAGTAAACTACACGTTTGGTAACTAAACTTTATTATCTCTCCTATTTCACTCACTATACTTTCAATTTTTTCAATTTACTAATTGAACTTTATAGATTACTTTTTTTGTTACTATGTCATTAAATAACTAAACAACATTATGAAATTACAACTTACATTAAAACGATGTCATTTTGAATTCTTGAAAAAAATAAATTTTAGACTAAAAAAATGTCGTTTTGATTAAAATACGATAATGTCATAATACCGTTAATTATTTAACAGCAGAACTACAAAAAAATTCAATATGTAAAGTTCAGTGAGTAAATTGAAAAAATAAATTGATAGTATGATAAATAAAATAAGAGAGAGAGTAAAGTTTAGTTACCAAACATGTAGTTTACCCTAACGTAATAAACCAACCTGCCCTTTACAATATTTATTCCATTATGATTTTATTACGATTAGTTTTCATTGTTTTTTTTAGTTTACTTGCGTTATGTGTGCATCCAAGTCAACAAAAAAATGTCATAGTTTTTCAATTATATATATATTTCAAAATATTCATTTTCATTATTTATTTGTTCATGAAAATGTATTATTCATTTGAGATAATTTTTAGCGGTTTTAATCTTGACATTTTATCTCTCGAATATTCAGAGTCTCCAGAGCATCACACCTAAAGAGAGCACGGGTCATATATCATATCTAGTTTATTGTGAGTTATATATCTAGTATGTTAAATCGACATGTGATTCATCCCGATTAATTTTGAGTGGAAAGTCATAATAACTAAATCAATAAAATTAGCGGATTGAAAGATTACATCGTCCAAATCAAATAGGTTGAACTACGTGACGGCTCGACATACGAGATAAGTCAAGATAAGTTAGACACAATATATGAACTGTACTCTTCTCAATCGAAGCACCCTCGATATCCTCTTAAAAGTCAAAAGATAAAATCTTGAGATTAAAACGACGTAAATATTTTTTTTAAAAAATAATATACTTTTAATTATTGAGAGTTTCAATCCAACAATGAAAAAAATATTTTAAAAAAAATTATATCTATAATCTATATGTATATCATGAACGGAAAGATACTATAAAATTCATCTCACTTTATTATACAAATATCGAAATATTGTTGAAATCAATATATATACCTATACCCTACATTAAAGTAATTCCTAACAGAATTTAAGATTGTTAAGTACTCTCCTCACCTACTCCACCAATTCATTGTATTTGTCCACAACTCATAAAAATATTTTAGTTTGAGATGAATAACTATGCATCTTATTACATCTATATATTATTATCTTTACCCTAAGTTAGGTAAAAAATCAATTTGGTCTATGAATTTGATTTTTTACCTATTTTTTTAATTCTTTTGATGACATGGCACTTCGAGAATATATCTTATAGTATGATTTTAAAGTGATACATCATCAAAATTACTAAAAGTATAAGAAGAAAATTACTAAATTCAAGGATTAATGTAAGCCAAAAAAGTTATGGGATTAAGTTGAGAAAAGTTGGTAAGTTTAAGGATTAAAAGTTTCTTTACCCGTATAATTTTTTAGTTAATTTCATTAAACATTTGTATTTAAAAATGTTAATATTTCATTTTTAAAAATAATAGTCTATTATGAATATTATATGAATAATTTAGTAAATATTGTTATTATCAAATGCATTTTTAGGATGATATTGACATGAGTGGGAATATTTTAAAACATCATAGAATTATTAGTAAATAATTTTTGTTCGTCGACCACTGTTGTAGTTTTCCCATGCTTACAGTATAAAGTGAAATAAAAAGAACACTGTAGAACGTGTTGGTAAACAGAAGAATCTTGTGGCTGCAATTGAATTCTTAGATCTAACGGTCAAATTAAAAGCATGCTCAAGGTTCGCATGCTAATAGTAGTTAAGACGCCGTTAACGTCGTCAACAGGGAACCTCTAGAACCACAGTCTAAAAGCAGACCCACAATCCAAAAATAATATTCCCTCTGGTCTTATTAAATCTGTTTTGTATTTTTTTTTTCAATTTTGTGTGTGTAAAATGTTCTTATTGAGATTCATTTATCAACCTTAAATGTGTAATTTGAATTCATTTGAATTAATTAAGATAAAATCTTAAAAACCGACAATATAATTTTAAAAAATATTTTTTATAGAAATTAATTATTTAAACTATTTAAAAAGTATTGTCAAATTTTAAAATATCAATTTTAAGAAAATCAATAAAAGAGACGTTTAATGGAATGATGGAAATATCTTTCTTTATTTCCTGGTTTTAATTCCCTAACTTTTTTAGTTATTCGTTCAAGCCTAAATGTCCTTTTCAATATAATATATAAATATATAAGAGAATTTCTTTTAAAAATATTATCACCAAAAAATTACATGAGCAAAAGGACGTTCGTTTAAATTAAAAATTACCCAATTTATTTGCCTATTTTGTAGTATAAAAATTAAATGTATGGGTGTAAAGGAACATAGTGTTTGACGAATTATTTGTGAACAGTTTCTGTAACGTTCGTTTATGTTTATTTATTAAGTTAAATAAATGATTGTGAATAAATATTTTATATTCATTTAATAAGCGAATAAATATGAATAAATGTGTGTTTTGTTCGTTTATATTTATGAACAAACTCGTTTATAAGCTCGTTTACTTTGTTATCATTTTCCTTTTATTTTTTTGTATTTTAAATATTGGTGAAGATATATACTAAATTGAATATAAGGTGAACTTTAGAGTTCAAGCTATGAAGTCTAAGGAGCTTAAGGGCTAGTAGCATAAATTCATCATTTTTTGGCTTGCAAATAAAAAGATAGTGTTGGTTGTCCAACATTAAATGAATAGTAAACTAACATGTTTGTTAGCGTTAAACGAATGTTAAATGAACTTGTTCGAGAATGTTAAACGAACATGTTTATGAACGTTAAACTAACAAACACAAACACTTTTAAAAATAAATAAATGAAGAGAATATTGATAATTTAAGAGAATATAAACCGAACAGGAACACATTAAAAAATAAACAAAAGAACAGGAACACATATTTGCTTGTTCAAGCCGATTCATCCCTAATTAAATGTACAATACTTTAATTCAAATATTAAAATTTATTTTATTTTATTTATATTTAAGTATTTGACAAAATTACCAAATATTAAATAAAATTAGCATACTTTTTAAGGAGTTGAAAACATAAATTTATTCTTCGGAGGGATCAAAGGCATGTGTTTGTTATTATAACATAATTTTTATTAATAATTTATTAGTTTTGAGTAAATAAAAATAATATATGTTTAAAGATTTTCAATTATTTTATATTGAACGTTCAAATACTTTTACAAATGTAACGTTTGAATCTAGGACTTCAAAGAATAACAATAATTTCTCAACCACCGAAGTCATTTGATTTGTACATATATCAATAATTTATAAATATAATTAGATTTGATCAGAAAAATAACATACATATTTTTAAATCATATCAAACTTTTTTTTTTGGGAATAGAAATCGTATCAAACATATATATTTATATATATATATATATATATATATATAACACATTTGTATCATGCAAAGTAATTGAGTTGATAATAAGCAAGAATGATAATGGGTTGAGGTTTTTCTTTATCATGATTTTACCAAATATAATTTTAATTTTAATTAATTTCGAATTTAAATATAATTTTATTCATTTCGAATTTGATTCTAAAATTCGAATTTTATTAAATAAAATTAACTCTATTAAAGGTCACTAGTTCCCAACCCGTCAACTAGAATTGTAGAAAGTATTTCATTAAATATAATATTATAGAAAAGAGGATACTGAGAAAATAAAAAAAAAATAGTGATGAAAAGTCAAAAGTGTGGAGTAAAGTAGGAGGATATAGTTGAAATGAAAATCCATTTTCTCTAAAAACATCCAATATTCACAGAAGACGACTTCTTCTTCCATTCCAACCAACCACAAAACACTAACAAAGTTGGCAAGCACGTGAATGAGAATGACTTGCCTTTCTCTTCCTCCCAATTTTGACTCTCCTTCATCGCTGTCATTTTACATTCTCGTTTTTCGCTAACTATTTTCTTTTTAAATAATAAGTATGTAAATAGTAATATAATTTTAATTTTATTGATATTATTATTATATTATAAAGTTATGTGTTCAAATATGTTCAAAACGTATTATAATCTGTAATTTAAGAGTTTATAGATAATAATTTACTGAAGGGAATAGATTAGCCGATAGTTTTTGCCACTTCAACGTTGGATTTCCCGGTTCTCTGGTATGCAGTTGATCAGAATGACCATTTATACCTGATTGAACCGATTCAACAATCCAGCCGCCAAAATAAAGAACCATTTGATTTGCCATCTATGAAGCAAGCCTAACCTTAATCATCAATGTGACTTACTGCAAATTAACTTTACGGCTGGTAAGGCTTGAGACACGAATCACTTGAAATAAAATATCAAAATGATGACAAATTACATCAAACATTAAACTATCAAC